CTGGCCCTACGCCTACCCCAGGAGGAGATGACCAGCCTCTTGAAGCTGTTTGTGGATGGCACATGGTAGTGGCCCATTCCCACATTATGTGTTGCTGAAATAGCTGTTCCTATGGCTAGCACCGCCAGCACTAGCAGCCTCCTGGGCATCTGGAGCCTCTGCCCAGCCATAATATTCCCTGCAGACTTCCTACCATGGATCTCAGGTGCAGTCTTGCTCTTGCTGGGATATGAGCAGCTGCAACTCTCCTGTACCCCGCTGAGCCCTGTCCCAGTTCGGCTCTGTCCAGTAGCTCCTGCCTCTGCACTGGTTTGTGAGGCTTTCTCTGGACTTGTCCCTGTCCTCCTGGCATGGCCATCTTATGCTAGCTTGTTAAACAGTGGGGCAATGCAGTTTAATTTGTGCGGGCAGGCGTTAGGGAAGAGCAGGCAGGGAGGTGGTATGCTTTGTCCCCGTGGGGGCTGTGGGGTGGGGTGGCCCCAAGGGTCCCGTCCGACTCCCCACCATCCATTACTCTCTGGGCCTCAGTGAATGTGCAGTAGTTTACTCTCCATTAGACCTGAGTAATTTTTTTGTGTGTCTGGTGATGTCTGCATTGCGAGCGCTTTGAAGTACGCTGAATACAAATGATGGTATTAATGCTGGCTAATTCAGTCCTCCTGATTCCCTACCCTATCTTTACCGCATGCTAAAGATATCCATGTGCCGCCTGCCAGCAAGAAGCTGCTCAATCTGAAATGCCTTTTTTCAGTTCATCAACCCGTGAGTTGTCTCATCTCTTGGGAAGCTTGTTTGCTCTCCCTTAGGCTGACGGGGCTTTCAGTGGTCTGTTTGGGGCACAGGATGTTTGAAGAGGCATTTGTATAGTTTCCTGAACCTAGTTTTTGTTTCAGAAGCTGCTAGTAAAGCTGATTTATATTTCCCTTGCAAGGGAGGTCAGATTTACTGCGCTGGGTGCCTGGTGATTTATGGGGCTGGTGAGGTTCCCCAGCCCCTTCCCTGTGCAGCCGGCACCAGACGGGAGGCAGCAGGGAAGGCTGCAGCTCTGCTGCCCACTTGAAGCCTCGCGGGTGGCGTGGGAATGGCCCTGGGCTCCTGCTGCTCTCCTGGCTCTGACAAACCAGCCTCCACTGGTGGGAAGAAGCTGCTTTGCTAAGTTGGAGGAGAAAGGAATAAACCTTCCTTTTTAGGCAGTATTAGCATTTTTCCAGGTGCATTTTTGTGCCATTTCACATGCCCTGAACACTGTGTCTTTTTGTGCACCTCTGCAGGCACATCTGGCTCCATAGTGTTAGCACCATTTTTTTGTGCAAGCCAGATTTGATTGGAACCTTAAGCATCCTCCGGCAGGAATGAAGGCCCTGATCTGAACATTAAACTCTCTTGTGTGTTTGTTTGCATTTGTATTAATCACTCTATGGGTCTTTTTTCAATAGCTAGTGAATTTTGCATTAAAGTTGCCTGGCTTTAGTTTCCCAAATTTATCATTTTTTGAAGAGAGGCATTTCCGTAGTATCATGACTTTGTGATTTATTTGGAGCCTTTGGATTGTGATGGGGCACTGACTGCAGACCAATGGCACTGAAAACTGAAGACCAGGTTTTTTTGGTTTTTTTTTTAAATACTTCTGTGGAACATGTGCTGTCTGCGTGCATATTGCATTTAGAATAAATGGGTTTTGCCACTCAGCTTCTCTGTCTTTCACTGTTGCTTGGGATCCTTGCCCAAAAAACTTCAGATCTAAAACCTGCAGCTGCCAAACTATAATATAACAGCTTCTTAGCTGGTGTAAATCATGGAACACTCTTGCCTTAAATGTCTTACATCAGTGGAGTTAATCTGATTTAAACCAGCTGGGGATTTGGTATGCAGCGTGCAGAAGTGCAGACTGCATAACTCTTGTCTGTGCTTGAAGCTCATAAATCCTCTTTTAATGTGGTGTGGCCAAGCCCGAGGAGCTAGAGGAGGGCTTCATGCATCGCAGTGGTTCTGCAAGGGCGAAGTGGTGGGAAAGTTACACAGAGAGAGCACAAGCAGGGTTCAGGCTTAGGAAGAGCTGCCAGGATGAGGACGATGCCAGCATGAAATGGTCTTGGGACTTGCAGAGCAGTGATAGGAGGAGGAAGGAGGACAAGAACTCGGACCTTTTTACTTTCCTTTTCAGTATGCCCATCCAGAGGTGACCTCTCACTTCCCAAGCTGGCTTTGGTCACTCTAATCACTTGTCATTTTAGTTGCGTAATTTAAGAGTACCCGGCAAGCTTTTTATCACCCTCCTTACAGATGCATGAAGCAGTAATGTCTGGGCAGGTCTGCCTGGCAGGCGAGATCACGGGACAGACTCTTGGTGCCATGGGCAAGGGGAGGAGGAGTTGGGGTGGCAGAGACATAGCCTGAGGAAGCTATGGTGGGGAATTCTTGACCCCCATCCTTGGCCCTAGTCAGGTAGTTTTCAGGGAGAATTAGTTTAGCAGCTGGGTGTCCTCAGCAGCTGGTGGGCCGAGGGAGAGAGATCAGCATCCAACAGCTTGGGCAGAGGTTTCAGACTGCCGTCTGGTGTTTGACTCCATCGGTTTTGCTGACCATGCTGCAGCAGGATGACCCTGTGGGAGAACAGAAGGAGCAGAAGGAAAATGGGACAGGATGGAGAAGCAGCTTTGTGGCTTATCTCTGCCAACTTGGACAGAGGAGTGGAGTCTGTTAGCCCAGGGGAGTCTCTGAAACCTGGCTGGAGGTACCATGCCTCATGTGGAGTGAGGGTATTTAGCAGAACTTGACTGAAGATGGTATTTTACAAATTGGAGGCAGCAGGGTTTTCTGGCTGGTAAGAGCAGCTGGCAGTTTTCCTGGGGAGTAGCATTATCTCTGAACATGGTCTCATTCTCCCCTCCTGGCAGCATGTGTGGAGCTCCCAGGGTTTCTTTCTCACATCCTGAAGGCAGAAGCCCTGACGAAGGGTGGGAGATGAGCACAGGGTGCAGAGGGCCCCTGGGCTCCGCCGTGCGTGAGGTTAGCCCTTGTGCAGCATGCTGCATCTTCCATGCTCTGGTGAAGCTCTAACTCATTAATCCTGGTACGGCTGTGGGTGGGCAGGGAGAGGAACACAGGTCTGCTCCCCTGAAGCTGGTGGGATGCAGCTGAGCAGAGCCATGGCTGGGGTGTCTGCCTGGAGAGGGAGTGCAAGCGAGGATCGGCCCCCAGCTCATGCTAACGTGACTCTGTGTCTTCACACAGGCGGTGGCGGGAAGAGTGCAGAGCAGGATGGGGTGTGACTGCAATGTTTAAATCCGCTAACGGGGTCTCTTACAAGCATATGTATAAAATGAGGCTTGGAGATATCCAGGAAAGCAGTTCAACAGGATGGTTCCTCCTCGTGCCAAGCCTCTCTTCTGTTTTGATGCCTGCTGCATCCCAGAGATGACCCATGTGCCTGCAGAAGGCTCTGAGAGCACACAGTGATAACGATCAGAAGGTGTCTAGCTGACAGACAGGGAGAGAGGCAAATGCTGTTCAGCTCAGCCTGTTTTAAATACTTTGAAAGCATGGGCCTGAGAAGGGGAAGAGAGCCAATTCCCCATCTGGTTTATTCGGCTGTTAGGAATCTGGTAAGAAAGTGAATGTGTTGGAAAATATTTGGGAGAAAATATTTGGTGAGGAAATACTTGACCTAATTATTACTACTGAAATTGGTAAGGTGACACACAACTAAATCATTAAGATCACTGGTTGCAGTGCTTATGAGAGGTGATGGATAACAGCAGTAGGAGCTGCGTGGTACCGTACCATGAAGATGCACCTGGGGACTTGCTAACTGAAAACTCAGGAGCTTGGTCTGCAGGTGCATTTGACAAAGTTATTCATCAGGGGCTGTAAGGGAACTAAGCAGCAGTGGGAGAAGTGGGTAAGTTTCTGTGACTAAACAAAATGAGGAGCGACGAGGAAGGAGAATGGAATGGGACTGATCATTATGTATTGCTGAAATTTATGGCACATCAACATGGTCTGTTGGAAAAAACCTGGAGGAGATTCAGAGAAGAACAGTGGCTTCTGTATGGAACAAGCCTGGCTGACTGGGACCCGCTGTTCTGGAAGAGGGCTGGCCAAGAGGGTTACGG